TTTATATAGAATCATGTATTTATTTTTATGAGTACAAACATTCCTTGTCAACAGTGATTTTTCTAAACACAATTTTGATTTAATGCAATTTCTACCAAGAATTCGATAATTAAAATATTAATAATACGAGTATAAGTGAATGGTAATAAAAATATTTTGTTACTTTATTTCAAAGTGAAAAAATGTTTATTGCCAAGAGGGCAGCAGAAGATGAAGTTTAATCAAAGCTTGTGCTAGTATTGCAATAATGTGGCATATGCCTTATTGGTCATTTTATTAAACTGTTACTGGTGTGTTTCTGACTTAAAAATATTTTTACTATGCAATGTATATTCAGTATTATGGTTATCTATCTTGCTGTAACTTTTTAAACAAAATTTTATTTTGCATTATTATAACTTCAGGCATAAATATGTTATGCTTCACTGTGCATCCAGGATGCCTATGCTGTTTTTTCCATGAATGTGGAACCAATTATTAAAAATTACTCAAATGTTGAATAATGCAAAGAAATCCAATTTTTCTTCAGAAGAAAGTAAGATGGATGTCAGCAAATCAAAATGTCCATTTTTGTCAACAGACTTCCTGGGCTCCAAGCATAGTACAAAAAAATGTTTATTGCACATTTAGAACTATACCATGAGTGATATCATGATCCTTGGTAGCTGGATATTGAATCTTTTGTTGATATAGTTTAATAGTTTTCTAGCTCAGCCTTAGGCTAGAGCCAATCAAAAGTGTAAAAATAATCCAAATTCTCAATTGGGGTTGCATGTGTCTTATGCATTTTAACACCAAAAATCACAATAACCAGATAGAGCAATCAAAATCAGTGATGCGGTGGTAAAAGTTTTAAAAGTTCGGGCCATACAACAACCCCATTGAAGAAAACAGTTAACCAGACCTCATTGCAATGACCTCTTCCTACCAGCAATGGGTTACCAGACCTTATTGCTGGCGGGAAGGGCATCATACCATTCTTTGCCATTTGAGTCTTGAGGTCTGTACAACAGCAGTGAGACTCTCTGAACCTAGTCAGACATTTCCCTATTGTTGCTGGTCATAAAGGGAAACCTACAACAGTTCAAGCTTTAAGGTACCAAAAATCCAAGTCCACCATTGTCAATTGTTTGTTCGTGTTTTAAGCTAGAAGGCCCAGAAATAAATACTATGATTTGGTAACTATGTTAATGCTAAAGCTCGAAAGCCATTAATGTGTACATTACCTAGCTAATCTCCAGATTAACTAGGGTGAAGTTTCGAAAATTGTTTCATTTCTCAAATTACCGAGGTAATGTGCAGATGATCTAGGTAATCTGCACATTACCTACTAGGCACTTGGTAAACTGAAAATAAGATCTTTGCTTGAACAACAGTAATGTTTCTGTACGCTTAAATTAACATAATGTTGTTTATTTAATTTTCAATATCTAAAGAATCAAGTTAATACAATCAACAAATTAGTTGATAGAATCAATCATCAATTAAAAAACTAATACAAAAAAAAATCAAACAGTTTAAAATATTATTACGATTAGAGAAATGAATTTGCAAAACATATGATAAAATTGTGCTTACTTATTAGTGCAATCTAAAGATTGGTGACACTGAATTACAATGCAATTGGTTTTCACAACAAGCACACCTATTTGTGGTACACTTAGATTTGCAGTCACATTTTCTGAAACCCCGCTCAGTACTAAGGGATTGTTTTATTGCTGTTTGACGTAAACATATTTCTACAGCAGGGACATCATCTTTCGTTAAAAATCTCTTCGCAAACACTGAATTCAGATTTTGCATACAATTGTTTTAAAATACCCATTTTAGTACCAAGTTTATAAAAGCCATTGTCTGTTTTACTAAGAACCACAGCTAAAATTGAATGTGCATCAGTTTTTGCGCTGTCTTGTTCGGGAAGTAGTAGGGAAAGGAAACGAGAGAAACAAACTTTTGAACTTTAACGATGCAGAAGTGTTAATGTGCAGATTACCTAGGTAAAATGTGGAATTTACCTAGGTAGAATGTGCAGATTACCTAGGTAAAATGATTCCGCATGTTAACGGATCAGCCCAGTTAATCTGGAGATTAGCTAGGTAATGTACACGTTAACGGCTTTTGAGCTTTAGCAGTAACAACTATACTAAATAGTAAAAACTCTTCATGTGCCTTCAATCATTCAAATTGGCTTTCAAATTCAAATAATAATTCTTGTGTGTTTGTAGCATCGTTCATAATATTAAAACAGTAATCTAAATTTTGCAAGTAGGAAAATTTACTAAATCAGTTTTCCAAATTTCAGTTTTAACTTAAATGCTTTAATGCAGTCTCACAGAAATGTGGCAAGTAGACATTAATCCTGAAGTTTTAAATTTATTTCATTTAAATGTCACATAATACCTGAAATGAAGACCAAATCCTAGCAGCCAGTTATCATTATGAAGTTTTTGCTGACTCTCCTTTTGTTTCAATTGTGAAGCTCCCAAAACTTTGACAGGAGAGCCAACAAACTTCCATATAATAAAGTAAACCATTACCTTTGAGACAAAAACTTTCCAACTTTTTCAGTAAAAATTTATTTTGTATTTTTGAAAATTCCATTATTTTAAGATCATCATCTTCGAAGATTAGTGCCACAAGCTGCATGAGTCTGGTAACACGTATGCCGCGAGTTTAATGCCACTGCTTTACAGCATCTTTTATTACAGTAAAAAACCTAACTATATTCTATCATCAAGACATAATAGAAATAAAATGATAAATAAGAAACACTTTTTATTTTAGATACAATATATACACAAAAATGGTAAGAATATAATAAAAGATTTATAGAAATTGTTATTCTTTGAATTTCCATTCCTGTCGACACATGGGACACAGCTGATGAACCTGCTGAGAATTCAACCATTTCATAATGCAATGTATGTGAAAGCAATGAGAACACTGTCCCCAAACTGGAAAAAAAAAGTCATTAATACTTAATTAAAAATTACTGAATTAATTCCGTATTCTCATTGGTTTTTGTTTAAATTAAATAAATTTATGATATTTTTGAAATGATCAACAGAATTTTGTCTGACAATTAGGTAAACTGCATTATAAATCTCATTTTTGAATTTCTCAAAATTACAAATAGATTTGAACTCTCAGATCTGACGTGCCTGATACTTCCTTTCAATTTACTTACAAGACAAATAACCTAAACTTAATTATTGTGTACAGTTTGAGACAAAAAGCAATTAAATTTAATGATCAAATTTATTTAGATGATTTGTAATAAAGAATAAAGTGAAGAATAAATAAAACAGGCCATAGGTAATACCTAAAGGGCAAAAAAGCCACTTCCCAGAACAATGCAAGAAAACTCCAATAAAAAAACCTCCAATTAAGATAAAAAGTAGAGAATAAAGTAAAGTACTGGCAAGGCTCTTTTAAACATCTGTTTATACTTATAAAATGTATACATTAGATTTTCAATGTTTCTAATGGACTTTAACAATCTGAAGAAAAAAGTTCCTTGGGATATATTGAGCTAATAATAGGGCATTAAAAGCATGAAAAACTTCAAATACTAGTGTTCAAATAAACAGATAAATAAAATTACGAGGGATAACACCATTAAAAAGTTTATAAATTATAATTATATTAAAATAAATGGCCCGGTTGTGTATATTAGGAAGACCTAAGTGAGTGCATGTAATCTCAGAAATGGGTAAATGGCAGATTGGCAAGTCCATTTGGAAAGATGTAATCTTAGATATCTCAGAATTAACTTTATTAATGAGAAAGTAAACTATGAAATGGGGAGGCGATAATCAATAACTGATGGAAATCAACATAAGAGATGGAGAAAAAGGTCTGTTTAGAAGCAATAGTCTGACAGTTTCTCCACAATATTCTCTGCACAAAGCCAATCTCTTAATTTTGTCTATGTGACACTTGAATGTTAGTTTATTTTCAATTGTAATTGTTAATTCGGAAAACAAAACTAGAGTTGGTTTTAATTAGGGCAAAATACAAAAATATTAATGTTAATGCTGAGATTAAGATTTTATAGGTTATTTACTAAAACATCCCAGTCCCATTGTCAGGTAAATAAATTGTTATTTATGATCTTGATGTCATTAACATAAGTTACAGTTAAAAAGATGGACTTAGTGAGAATAGAATTAATATAAGCAATGAAGAAGAAATTACTAAGGACGGATGAGATGCTATAAAAAATTAAAATAATAATCCATTTATTACATATTTCTTGGTATGTACACTTACTTCACTATTGTAATTTTGCCCTTAGAGTATACCCTTAGTTCCATTAGAAATATTTATATATAACCAGTCATCAGGATGTGAGTTTGCTTCAGAAAGCTTTAAGTAAATTAAACAGATGCTTAAAATTGTTCTTTCTCATTCAGTTTTGTTTCTATGGTTTCTGAAAATAAGTAGAAAAGTGTTTGCAAATTTTCAAATATAACATTCTCAAAGAAATTCATTGACAAAATATGAAAATGTCTACAAGACAGGAAAATGACCAATACAATATCATGTTGGAAACTTTGTTGGAGAACAACAGGCACACACTACTCTATCTTACAAGATAATTTAAGGTAATATAGTGGTTAACGAATCACCTCAACTGCCGGTCTGCAGAAAACATTCACCGGTTCACAGAAAAATATCCAATCATGCCGATTCTGGCACAGTTGATTACAGGTGACATTTAAATAGCAATCCAGATTTACTATTATGCTGTATATGATTGTAGAGTTACTGTTATGTACAGTAACTCTACAATCATATACAGCATAATACTCTACATAAACATATATGGTATAAGTATAATAAATAAGCATAATTCATAGTTGCATATAATTATTGGTCCACATAAAATTGTCAATTTTATCAATCCACAATGAGAAAAAAGTTGAGAAACACTGGTCTAGTGTATATGAGTTTACATACAATGTAGTTCTGTTTCCCTACTATTCATAGTGTATGCTCAACTGAATGTTGTGCGCACACAGTTATAGTAGGATGAGAAAACATCCAGTTTTCTGAAATAGTAAAGCATATATAACATTATTATAGTTTAAAGCCTAGGTGTTTTATAAATTTTGACTATAATTTCATGTGTTTGATTCAAATGTGAAATTTTACATATTACATACTATATAAAATGTATCCGTAATAAATAATCATCAATAACTTATAATCCATACATATCACATCTTTATAAATATTAAATGTTGTTTAAGTTTGGAGAAATTGTTATTGTAATTGATATTCTAACACATTTAATGTGTTAGAATATCAATTAGAATAACAATTTCTCCAAATTGCACCAACGACTGTCCATATTTTGGTTAGATAATTAAAATTTAATTATTTAACCAAAGTATGCAAATAATAATAATAATAATAATAAATGCAAGCTTTCAGAAAATAAACATCCTTTCTGTTTATTTATTACCTAAGGGGCAATCGTCTCCGGGCATCTTACAGTCGGGACAACATCCGTCAAACGGCATCCGACAAATACCACAGTTGTCGTCGTTTGCCACCCATCGCCAAGTCGCGACGCCCGTCCAACCTGAAAGTAAATTTTTTACTCGGCAAAATTTCTTTTTACATCTCTGATGTTTTTGTTTGGATAGAAATTTCTAAACACGTTATTACGGAGAGACTTTTGTAGTTTAGAATGCCACTTCTGCACAGATTTGTGAATTTGTAATTTGAATTTGTAGATTTGTAATGTTTCTGCATTTAAATATGCTCAAGCATTACAAATCCATGCAAAATAGGGACAATATAAGTCAGGATTTTAACACCCTATCAGTATGGATATCCTGATGTGAGTTATTGACACTTTTCACATAATTATTTGAATTCAATTTACATTGCTTACTTCGGTACTGAAGCAACGGTTTTCGAGGGGTAACATCAATGTTAGTAATTGTTTTTTCCAATTAGAGAGTCGCCGTTGTTAAAGTCCAGATATGTATACCGTCATGGCGGCTCATCTCTGATTCAAGCAGTGGGGACGCACGTTCTAACCTAACCTAACCTATTCTAA